CGGCTGGAGAGATGGCTCAGAAGTTAAGAGCACTGACTGCTCTTTCAGAGGTCCTCAGTTCAATTCTCAGCAACCACATGGTTGCTCACAACCATCTGTAATGGGATCCCATGCCATGTTCTGAAGACAGCTACAGTGTACTCATATACATAAAATAATAAAATAAATCTTTAAAAAAAAAACAAAAAAAATGAAGTGGGAAGTTCTCCATTTCAAGAGGCAAGATTCTCATTCCCACTGGGCAGTCAATGACTTTTCTCCTGTAAGCAAGGCTACATGGGGAGCCCAACTTACCATCTACCTCAATTACCGACTGTGGCTATAACGGTACATAACAAATTACCCCAAAACTTGGTGGGATAAACTAATAAACCAGAGTCTATGAATAGTAACGATGGATGTGGCTAATTCTGTTGTGGTTTTTTTTTTTAAGATTTCCTTATTTTTATGCAGGAGTATCTTGCCTGCATGTATGACTATGTACCATGTGTGTACAGTTCCTGAGGAGGCGAGAGGAAGATATTGGATCCCCTGGAACTGAAGTTACAGACAGTTATGAGTTGCCATGTGAGTGCTGGGAACCCAACTCAGGTCCTTTTCAAAAGCCGTGACTGTGCTTAGCTGCTCAGCCTAATTCTTCTTGTCTTAACCAGACTCACGTGACACTGGGGATGGCTTAGACATAAGTGCATCACTCTCCACACATGTGGCCTGGGCAGGTTGATGGATGTCAGCAGAATCATGCAAACTAGAGTGACCACTCACCACAAGAGCTTTATAACCACTGACAACCCTGGGGCCAATCTCAGACCTACGGCTGATGTCACCACAGCTGCACAGCAAAAGAGAAGGCTGCCAGGGGTCAGAGTCTGTCTGGCAATCCTAGTTGGTGAGCAGAATTCAGAACAAGGAAATTCTATGTATAACCTTAACTGTCCTATGGCCTGCATAGCTACTGCTAAGGCAGACCTCTACCCAAGGCTAGCTTTTGTCTTGCTGCTGCCTTTGGGGGTCAGTTGCTGAGACACAAGATGAGGCTTTGCATGCCTTTTACTCAGCTGTCCTTCTTCAGTGGTCCCTGCGGTGTGAGCTGTAACTCATTCATTGATTTTTCTGTGTGTCTGGTACTGAGTCTAGCACACTGCTTGGCAATCAATGAAATAAAGCAAAGAGGAAAACAATGAGTGCCTCAAGGAAAGGCTAGGCACATTCTTCTCCATCCCCAGTGTCTAGTGAAAACCATTACAGTATATCCTTCCAATTACGTTCCTGAGCCTCACTCATCCTGTTTCTACTTAGGAGACACGGTATCCAATTCACTATCCACTAAAACTTTCCACAGCATGACTCTGCTGAGAGATGGGAGCCTGGAGCAGCAAGGGTCAGGACCATGGGTCTGGCTCAAAAGAGGGCTAGCCTTAGGCTCTCCAACCTTAGGACCAATGCTGGCTTTTCAGCAACAGCCTTGGAGCAGGAGCTGTGATGGGGTGAAAGCCAATCTGGGGACCATAGGATGAGGTCCCTACGTGCTTCTGACAACACTCATCCAACTCCCCTCCCCACTCTGAGGAAACAGCCAGCCAGTGACAGGACAACCCTGTAAGATCCAGACTTAGTCTCTGTTACTCAGGAGAGGAGGAAACATTCAAAGCAAGATGGGAATACTAATCCTTCCCTCCTGCTCCCCTCTCCTTAAGCCCAAAGGAAGTCTGAGCTCAAACTGTCAGGGAGAGCTTGGCTGCGTGTGTCCTACTTGGAGGGTTTAAGTAATTAAGTCTGCAGTGGCTAAAGCTGTGGCCATCTCTCTGTGAAAATCAACTCCCCAGGCTACTCATTAGTTTGAATATAAAATGTCCCCCACAGCTCATACACTGAGGGGACAGCATTGCCAGCTGACGGGTTTGGGGGCAGTAACTGGCTGGCTCCTGAGGACTCTGACCCCATTCCTTATGGAGTTATTAACTGGAGGTAGTGAAAAGAGGTGAGGCCTAGTAAGAGGAGATAGGTCCTGGGGACATACCATCTTGTTCCTTCCTGTTTCTCTCTACTGCCTGGTCACTATGAGATGAGGTGTTGGTCCTCCATATCCTTCTGCTCCAGTGCTCTGGTATTCTGCTTCCACAGCCCCGAAGCAAGAGTCAGCCAGCTGTGGACTGTACCTTTTAAAAACATGAGGCAAAAAGAAAAAAAAATCTGGACTCCTTTTAATAGTGCCAGGAAGCTGGGCAGTGGTGGCGCACGCCTTTAATCCCAGCACTTGGGAGGCAGAGGCAGGTGGATTTCTGAGTTCGAGGCCAGCCTGGTCTACAGAGTGAGTTCCAGGACAACCAGGGCTACAGAGAGAAACCCTGTCTTGAAAAACAAAAAACAAAACAAAACAAAACAAAAAAAAGTAGTGGCAGGCATTACAAGACGTGGCTAACACAGTTAGTTTTACAGGGAGCCACTGGAGGGCAGCTACAGCTAAGCCATCAGTAGCCTTCCCAAAGACTGCAGCAAGCGCCATAAAGGGGCAAGATGAAGAGGAGAAAGGAGCTTATGCCCTGCTGCAATGTGGCACATGGTAGCTCCCAGGCCATTGCTTCCTTTCGGATTCTAGTCCTATCACTTCCTGCCTGTGACTCTGAGCAAGCAGCCCATCCTACAAACCTTTATTTCCTACCAATAGTGGGAAATGGTAAACAAGGACTAAATGATGAAATCCACATAAAACCCTTAGCAATCTGGCACATGATCAGATTTAATCGTTTACTATGGCTACCACTGTGTCACTAGGGTGCCAAGTGCCACGGTGAGCACTTCCTATGCATTCCTTCCTTTAGTCCTTACCCTTGCACAGGGGTAGGTTCAACTTCACAGCCACAGACGAAAAGCTGGAGAAGAAATGTGGCCAGGGTCACCTGACTGGTCAGTGGCCGTTCTAGGACTCTGAGCATGAGCTTCTGAAGACCTGCTGTCAGCTTTATAGACGTGTTGCAGGGCTGGGGACTGAACCCAAGATTCCATGCACACTAAGGCAAGTGCTCAACCACTGAGCTACACCCTTCTCTCCCCTCCCCCAATATGTGGTCTTAACAGCTTTGTTCTTTTCCTTGTGTGTTCCAGGGTGTGTGTGTCTGTGTGCATGTGTGTGTTCTAGTGCACACTTGTGCAGGTACTCTCTAACATCAGATGAGGAAGTCAGATGCCCTGGAGCTAGTTACAGGTGGTTATGAGCTGTCTGATGAGTACTGGAAGGTGAATTTAGGACCTCTGCAATTGCTCTTAACCACTGAGCCATCCTTCTTGATCTTGATTTTTATTCCATTTAATTATGGGTCTGTGTTGGATATATGTGTGAGTGCAGATGCACACAGAAGCCAGAGGTTGGATTCCTCTGGAGCTGAGTTACAGGAAGTTGTAATCTGCACAACACAGGTGCTGGAAACCAAACACAAGAGCAGTAGGCACTGAGCTCTCTCTCCAACCCCATAGGTGAATATCCTTATTAAATACTAAGAAGCGGGGTGCGTAGCACACCCTTGTATTTTGTGAGTGCTATAGTATGCATATTGAGGTCAGAGGACAACCTGGAGGATCAGCTCTCTCGTTCTACCATGTGGATTCTACCATGTGGATCCCAGAGATTGACCTCAGGTCTATGGCTTGATAGAAGCACCTTTACCAGCTGAGCCATCACACTAGCTTTGTAGCACACACTTGTAGTTTCAACCTGCAAGAGGTAAAGAACTGAGGGGAAGGAAGCAGCCTTGACCTGGTTTGATGTGTCTGGAGGAGCCTGTACGAGGGGACTCACAGGATAGGTCAGATGCTCACATGCCCAGTACAGGCTCTGAATGAGGTCACTGAGCAGCAACATGTCAAACCAAGAACAATGAGTCTAGTTGCTGCTTCTCGTGAGTCCTGGGAGGCTGCTGGCCCTGGCAATACGTTTATTAATTTTTTTGGAAATGCACTGTGGCTGGCCTAGTTTTACTTAATGTCTAATAAAAGAAAAAACTGTTTACATAGCACCCTTGGGCTTGACACTGAGCAGCTGAAGTTAGCAAAATCCTTCACTTTCAAAGATGACACAAGCCAGCAGCCTGGAAGGAAAACAATTCCTTTAGAAGCATGCCATTCCAGGTGCAAGCTGAACACTATGTGAAATGAGACGAAATGGGGATAAGAAGGGATGAGAACTGAGGTGCGTACTTGGCTTCTGGGGTTTGTTGTATAATATGCCCAGGATAGATGAGGAAGGTGCTACGCAATTCCTGTGCACTCCTTACAGTCCAGGCGCTTCTATACATAAACCTGTCTGATTAGCACCCCCACCGCCCCAGGACATCCAAAGCCCAAAGGGCTAGCATCTCTGTAAGCTCCTGCTTTTACTCCATAGATCTCATTCCTATTCCTTGCTTAAGTGTTAAAACTTTTCCATCAAAGGATTTGTCACCAGGGTAGGTTTTTTTCTTTCTACTTTGCATTCTAGCAAGGCACTCTGCGGTTATTTTAATAGGCTCATCTTTCAGATGAGATTGCCTGCATGTATGTATATGTGCAGCTGATGATAGGCAATCTGTTAGAAGACAGGCTCAAGTCTCAGGGTGAGGCTTTGAACAAAGGCTCCTGTCTTCCTATGCTATCCCAGGTGCTAGATGACATCCAGTGTTATCTATTATAGCTTTTAGCAATCTTGAGACTTAAGTGATTATCACCCTTAGTTAGAAACCAAAGCCAGTAAGTTTATCCAGCAGCTAAGCAATAAAGTGAACACTTGAACTTATAACTGCCGTGCTACACTGCTTCTTCTTACCAGAGCTACAATGGGGGCCTGGGTGATTCTGGGTAGAATCTCCTCACTTTGGGAAGTAGCTGGTAGCCTCCTATCCACCATAGCACAATAGAGAGCTGTCTCAGAACTGTCATTCTTGCCTTCAATTGTCCAGAAGAGATGGTTGCTACTAAATGCTAACAGAGAAGCTATGCTGTCGAGCAGAAAGTTCATGAGCTTTGGATGTAGGTCAAACAATAATATATTCCAGCTTTCATCTTTTTATTTACTTTTTTTATGATTTTTTTAAATGTTCATTGGTGTTTTGCCTGCATCTCTGTTTGTGTCAGATCCTCTGAAACTGGAGTTAGACAGGTGTGAGCTGCTTTGTGGGTGCTAGGAATTGAACCTAAGTCCTCTAGAAGAACAGCTAGCCCGTACTCTTAACTGCTGAGCCATCTCTCCAGCCCCAAATCCTGCCTTTTCAATCATGGATATATTACTGACTCCTTCCAAGGCACTCTCTTGTCTATCAACAGGCTCAATGCTATCTGTCTGTGGGAAAGCTGAGTTTACTGAAGGCTGGTCCTCTTCTACCATCTCTGGCCAGGAACTTTTTCCTGTTTTCCTATAGCTCTTGTAGCTACCATCCAAGCCTCTCAGTTCTGGCCTGCTTTCTCTAGCCAACAGTTTCACATACCAGCCAGAGTGACTGCCTCTTCTCAGCTGAGGGCAGAACTCCTGCAGAAAGAATACCTTCAGGAATGCACAACCCTCCTAGCTACTTCATTCTAACAGTGTGCCAGGATGGCCTCAAATTCTTAGTGATGTTCCTACCTCAGTCCTCCAAGGGCTAGAATTATGGGCGTGACCTGTAACACACAGTTAATATGTTACTTCTTATGTGTCATTATTATTTGGGCAACTAAAATAATTTGAAAGGATGTCAGAATGAGGGGAAAGTTTGTCAAAATGCCACAAAGTCAGAAAACTTATGACTATAAGCTTGTAAAACCCCATTATAAGCATGACTATAGGTTGTACAGAAACAGACAAAAATGAAGATAATTGTGAAGGTTAGGGAACTGTCAATTTTCTTCTCTTGATACTCTTCAATATTCAACTATCTTTCAGTTTAAAACATATATGTTGCGAAAATTTGATGAAGATGTTGACTTAAGCAGGATGCTCACAATATTCCTGCTTTGGTGCCCTCATTCCGCTTGCTGTGCCTTTGATGGGCTCATTTCACGAGCTTGGATCAATATTCTTTGGCAAAAGAACTACCTATCAGGTTGGAAGTGGGCAGTTTTATCTTAACAAAGCCCAGGGTGGAGGAGGATGGATGGGGTCAGCTCTTCCTTCAGCAGCAGTCTTTTGTACTGTTGGGGCTGAGGCAGCAGAACGGCTTCCCTATAGTGCCCTCTTGTGGCACACCTGCAGCACAGCACACAGCAGCCAGGTAAGGGGTCTGACCAGTGCTGTACAGACAAGCACAGGTTAGAATGAGTCATCTAACACATTACATGTCTGTCCTGGGAGACGTTCAAGTGTCTAAGGAGAAGCAGGAGGTCAAGGTCAGTGCCAGAAGCAGTTTCTAGCCATATACTGACCACCATAACAGGCAGTGGCATCCAGCTTAATGAGGCTTTTCAAAGAGATACTCCAGATCTGGGGCACGCAGTCTCTGCTCCTTGTTTTTGTTTTTGGCAAATTCTCTCAGCAGTTCCATGACTTCATTTTCAAATATTTCTGGGGCTGGTTTTGCTTCTGCAACAGAAGGGTGGACAAAAAGAATTGTGCATAGTCAATGTTCATGTAAAAGATGTGGAGCTATGAGCTGCATACAGTGCTCCTACCTAGAGAGTCTCAGCACTTACATGAGGCTAAGGCAGGAAGATGTCTGCAAGTTCAAGACCAGACTGGGCCTGAGTGAGTTCCAGGCTAGCCTGGGAAAGAGTCAAACAATATCTCAAAAAACAAACAAACAAACAAACAAACAAACAAACTGGGTCTGGAGAGATGGCCCAGCTATTATGACTTGTTGCTCTTGAAGGGGACCAGAGATGGCTTCCTAGCACCTACATTGGACTTCTCACAATTACCTTTGACTCCAATTCCAGGAGACCCCATGCCCTCTTCTGGCCACCCACAGGTACCCACACATATATCAATAAAAATAAAAAGTAAACCTTTAGGGCCAGTTCAAAGGCTCAATGGATAGACCCTTGCCACCATGCCTGATAACCTGAGTTTAGTCCCTGAATCCACATGGTAGAAAGAACCACTTCCCACAAGAAATCCTCTGAACACACACACACTCGTACAATGTAAAAATAATATTTTAAAGAAAAAGTAAATCAGCGGGGCAGTGGTGGTGCACGCCTTTGATCCCAGCACTTGGGAGGCAGAGGCAGGTGGATTTCTGAGTTCGAGGCCAGCCTAGTCTACAGAGTGAGTTCCAGAACAGCCAGGGCTACACAGAGAAACCCTGTCTCGAAACCCCACCCCACCCCACCCTATCCCCCAAAAAAAGAAGAGAAAAGAAAAAGTAAATCTTTTTTTTTTTTTTAATCTAAAAGCAAGCAAAAACAAAAATCAAGCTGAAACTCTGGCAATGGCCAAGAACCACAGATGGATAAATAGACCATGGGCTATCTCTGTTCTTCCTCCAAATACTCTAGGCTATATACCAGGGTTGGCAAACTGTATTGGTCTATACTTGTAAATAGCTTTGTTAGTACAGCTGCTCTCATTTGCTTGCATTATGATCCAGGCTACTTTGTATTACAATGGCAGAGCTGAGGAATCACAACAGAGCTCATATGGCCTAAGATTAAAATATTTACTATCTGGTCCATAAGGAACAAATCTCATGACCCTTGGCTGTACAATCCTGGCTGTCCTGTTTGGCTTTGCATTTGGCCTCAGTCGTCTTCTGGGTACACTGAGTAGTTTCCCCCTTATCTGTGGTTTTACCATCCACAATATCATTTACCTTGAGTCTTCTACAGTTTGACAAAATACAAGATTCCAGAAATAGTGAGTTTTATTTAAACAATTTGTCGAAGGTTGATGAAATGTTAAGCCATCTTGCTCTTTCTGTCTTGCGTATGACTCATGCTTATCCATGCACCCACACTGTGTATGCTACTCGTGAGAGTCACTTAGACACTTCTGTTTGGGGAATATAGTGAATGCATAAGTATTGCAAGCTTATGTTTAAGTAACCACATTTTTCATTTTTGTTTGTTGTTTGTTTTTGAGACAAAGTTTCTCTGTGCAACCCTGGCTGTCCTGGAACTCAGAGACTGCTTGTCTCTGGCTCCTGAGTGCTGAGATTAAAGGTGTGAGCCATCACTGCTTAGTTATTTTTTGAGACAGGGTCTTACTAAGCAACTCTGCTGGCTGTCCTGGAACCCACTAGGTAGACCAGGCCGGCCTCAAACTCACAAAGATCCACCTGCCTCTGCCTTCTGAGTACTGGGATTAAAGGTGGATAACCATACTCTTTTTAATCAATAACAAACCCAAAGCACAAGAGTACAAAGAAGGCGCTGGGGCACAGACATGGTGCTGTGTAGCAGGTAACACTGCAGGGTACATACATGGGAAAAGCATGGACTACATGGGCTCAGTATCCTCCAGGTTTAGAAATCCACTGAGAATTCTGGAATAAACTCCCTGCAAATACAGGGAGACTACAGTAATGCATTTCCTTTTATTCTTTCATGTTTTGAGGGCTCCATTTCCATCCCTCCCATTCTAAGCTATAAACTTTCTGAAATAAAAGTTCTGCTTCTTCTCTTTATCAGTAAGAAATCCTTGGTTGCAAATGACAAAAACTAACTACAGTAAACTTAAGCCAATGGGAATTTCTGGGAAGAAATGAGAGGCCCAAAGAATGAACATAAATCTGCAGCATGAGATGTTAGTAGACAGGCAACAGGGCTACAAGACAAAAAGCAAGAATGCAAATCTTGTCTAGTGGTAGGAGTTCAGCAGTGTTCATCATTTTCAACCTCTCTTTCTACCCTAGAGATAGTTGTCCAAGATGCTAATTACAAGCAAAGCCTCCTACCAGCAAAATTTAGGTGACAGTCTCCAGAGGATTAAAAATATGCTAAAAAGAATCCCTTCGAACTTAGATTCTGTCTGCCCAGAGCCCAGCACCCAGGGAGAGTTCTCGGTGTTTTGTGATTTGGGAGGGGTTTAAATTTTTTTTTCTCTTGGGCTAGAGAGATGGCTCAGTGGTTAAAGAGCACTGACTGCTCTTCCAGAGGTCCTGAGTTCAATTCCCAGCAACTACATGGTGGCTCACAACCATCTGTAATGAGATCTAATCCCCTCTTCTGGTGTGTCTGAAGACAACAACAATGTACTCATATACATTAAATGAATAAATAAATCTATAAAATAATTCTTTTCTTAGTATTTATTTTGTGTGTACGAGTGTTTTGCCTGCAGGTATTTATGTGTACCATGTACATGACTGGTGCCAGTGAAGACCAAAAGAAAGCATCAGATCTCCAGTAACTGGAATTTTAGTTGTTTGTGAGCAACCATGTGAGTGCTTTGGGTTTTCTTCAAGAATAGCCTCTATTTTACTTTTTAAAACTGTATGCACACGCGTGTGTGCATGCGTGCATGCATTCGTGTGTGTGCATGCAACACATGCATGCTATAGTATAGCTTTGGAGGTTAGGTCTCTCTTCCCACAGTGTTTCTGTGCTGGATGTTCTAAACTGGTTGGCCTACCAGCTTCCAGAGTATTTGCTATAATAGTACTAGCATTACAGATATGTACCACTTGGATTGTGGGCCTATAATTCTAGTACAAAAGTAAGTAGATCTCTATGAGCTCAAGGCCACCCTAGCTACATAGTGAATGCCAGGCCAGCCATAGCAACATGAGACCCTGTCTCAATAAAAAAAAAAAAAAAAAAAAAAAAACCCACATTCCACTGTATGAGCTCTTTACATGAGTGTTAGCACATACCTATTAATCCCAGCATTGGCAAAACTGAGGCAGAAGGATCAAGACTTTAAAACCAACGTCAGGTCAAATGGAACTTGCCTATAATCCAAGAACTCTGGAGGTAAAGGGTAGGCAAATCTCTGTGAATTCCAGGACATCCAGGGCTACACAGACCCTGTCTCAAAAGGAAGGAAGTGAAGGAGAGAAAGAGAGAGGGGGGAGGGGGAGGGGGAAGGGGGAGGGAAGGAGAGGGAGAGGGAGAAGCATTGGAAGCCAGCCTAGGATACAAAAAGAAACCTCAACTCAAAAAGCTAACAAAGGGCTCAGGAAATGTCCCAGTAAGTAAAGCACTTGACATGCAAGAATGAAGGCGTGCATTAGAATGCCCAGAAGTCACATATAGGAAGGCATGCAAGTACACATATGTAATCCAAGTGCTCCTATTCCTCCACCAAGACAGGAGAATGCCTGGAAGCACATAGCAAACTCCACACAGCTATTTGCTGTGTTTGAATTCCATCCCCAAAGCTCATGTTAAGGTAAAAGAGAACTTCACACTCAGACTTCCACAGGTGCACTGCCTGTCTGTCTCTCTGTCTCTCTGTCTCTGTCTCTCTCTCTCTCTGTCTCTCTCTCTCTCTCTCTCTCTCTCACACACACACACACACACACACACTTCAATTTTTTTAAAGCAAACAAACAAAAAATGTGATGTTGAGCCTAGAGAGATGGCTCTGCAGCTAAGAGCATATACTGCTGCTCCGCAGGACCCAAGTTTGATTCCAGCACCTGTCTCAGGTGGCTCACAACCACTTGTAATCCTGCTCCAGGGGAGCCAATGCCTTTGGCCTCCACTGACACCTGTACCCACATGTAGCATATAGACACACATACATATACATGATGATAAATAAAATAAACCTAGAAGGAGGGAAACTACAACAAGAAAGCAAAAAATAAACAGACTCAGGGATAACTTGTGTTGACTCCCAGTAAGAACCGAAAGTAATTATGACTAATATCAAAAGCTCCGGTGGAAAAAGCGGCAAAATATAAGAACAGATGAATTCCAGCAGGGAGCTAGAAAGTCTAAATGTCATATGAAAAGCTAAAAATAAAATCACAGCAGCAGCAATGCAAAATGACTTCAAGGGGCTCATTGTGACATCTGACACAATTCAAGAATCCATGAAAGACAGGCCAAGAGATGTTGCCAAATAACAAGGACCCAAAATGATTTACAAAGAGAAAACCACAGAGAACAAATGCCAGGAACTGTGGACACAAGTTGTTCAAAGCACAATCCGAATTACAAAAGGAAAAGGGAACATGAAGAAGGCTGAAGAATTTTCCAATAATAATCAAAGCCATAAAAATCTTGAGAACTCCAAACAGGATAAATACCAAAACTAAGACCTAGACATACTGCTATTGTTAGGATGGGGACTGTCCCTGCAAGGACAATGTCCCCTGTGTATCCCTAGCTTGGTGCTATTGGTAGGTAGTGGAAATTTTGGGGACCTAGAAAGTCTTCCAGTCATTGGAGGTATGTTCTTAAAGGAAATAGCAGTATCCAGTCCCTCCCTTTCCTACCCCTCAACACACCTGACACATGCCTCCTGGCCATGGAAGAACACTGCTCATCATGGACTTGCTGCATCATGCGCTGCCTCACCTACATACCTCAGTTTTACCAGTACTGGAGCCCATCACCTAGTGACTGAACCCCCCAAAATTGAGAGCTAAATAATTCTTTTCTAAATTAGCATGGTGGCCTGTGTCTGTAATTCCC